GGGGGCGCTACTGTGCCAAGAACAAGACTCCGCTTCCCAGCTACCTGTAAAATGAAAACTAGTTCCTTGGTTTTCCTACATTATGGGGGTTCAAGGATCCAGAGAGGTAATGAATTTCCCAGAGAGGCGCCTGGGAAATTGTAGCTAATGACCGTTAGGTTTAATCCTCCCATAGTCCACTGAAGAGCGATTTTCTTACTCGAGATCATCCACGTAGTGTCTGGTGGAAGTGGTATTTTAACCCAACAATAGATAGTGTCTACATTCGTAATCTTGCACTTATAGCTGAGGCTCCAACCTTGGCCCAAGGGCTAACCGTTGCAACAACAGTGTTAGTGTGCCAGACCCCAAGCCGTTTCGTGTTCTCCTTGGGAAGGAAGTCCTGAAATGTGAGCTGACAGTAATTCTGATGGATTTGAAATTGTTGAACTAAAAAGTGGCACCTACCACCGAGGGCTGTAGCTTCAGCCCTGATCAATTATTTGTATTAGGAAATAGAATCAGTGGCATAAAACTATATGAGATGACTAGTTAACGAGTCCAGGCAGACTTGACAGGGTAGAACGGGCATTGGGATTGATTAATAAAATCTAGCAGAGCCTGGTGGCTCACGTCTTTAATCCCATCACTTGGGAGACAGAGGCAGGAGGATTTCTGTGAGTTCGAGGCCAACCTGGTCTACAAATGGAGCTCCCGAACAGTCAGTATTGCTACACAGAGAACCTCTATCTGGAAAAACCAAACCAAAACAAGTTCTATTCCTGTCTTATCAATGGAGCCAAACGGGGCTGGAGAGATGGCTTAGCCGTTAAAGGCTAGGCTCACAACCAAAAATATAAATGGAGCCAAACGGTTGGGGAGAAGAGCTGCAGTACCTGTGGAAGAGATGGAGGCATTCCAGCAGATAGTTTTATGGTGCATTATAATAACTTGCTTTGCAATTAAAGGGTCTGCCCATCATAACAGTGGGAGAATTGTATCCTAAAAATAGGGCACTGCCTTTAAGAGCACTATATATTCAACAAAACATGGAAGGGAGTAATGTGAATTGAAAACTGACTTGACAGATTGGGGATTTTATACCAGCAGAAACTGGGGGAGCTGAACCTAGTGGCACAGACATGTGCCACTCGAAGTTGAGGCAGGAGGATTCTAAGTCCAAAGCCTGTCTGGGCAATTTAGCAAGATCCTATCTCAAAAATGGGAGGGTAGGGATGCTAAACAAGAAAGCAGAGCTATGTGATCAGTCTTCAGATTCTTACCATAGTGATCACATTCCAAAGAGTGTTTTAGCTGTCTGGCCATATGTGGGCATACTGACATGTTGTTTCGTGTTTTGGGTGAGCAGCCGGACTAGAAACTACTGGGATTCTGAGGTGAGTGCTGAGCTCTCTCTGGGGCTCCTGTCTTTACTGACATTGAGGACCGAGGTGCTGGGGCCTTGACCCCTCAGCTTTACTTTTCTTGCTTCCACAACAGGTCACGGATGAGGCTGCCATTCTCCAAGAGGAAAAAAACAAGAAGAAATCCCTGCAGTCAGGTGGGTTGAGCAGTAGTAGTGGTTTTGGTGGGGGAGTAGGTCAGGGAACTGTAGTAGTACCCATCTGGTTTGCCTTCTCCCAGAACAACAGCTGATGCAGTTGACACAGCAGCTGGCCCAGACGGAACAGCACCTCAACAATCTGATGACCCAACTGGATCCCCTTTTTGAGCGGTGAGAATTTGTGGGGTGAGTGAGGAGCCATGGAGGCAGATTGAGCAGCCCCTGAATGTGTATCTCTTCAGGGTGACTACTCTGGTGGGAACCCAGCGGGAACTCCTCAACATGAAGCTCAAGACCATCCACCAGCTCCTGCAAGACTGCAACCCTGACTTGAGTGTGCACATTCCGGGCAAACGATCGGGAGGTGATGGCTTGGAGACAGAGGCCGGGAAACTGGAACAAGCTGATCTTTCCCTCACAAAGGCCACCATACCCTTTCCCAAGCACTTGGGGAAAGAGGACCAACAAGGAGCTGGAGACTGTGAGGCCTGGGAGGGGCCCATAAACTGGAGCCCAGATTCATGGAACCTAGCTCCTTCCTGGGAGGTAGAGCAGGGGCTGAGGCGAAGATGGCACAAGACTGTGACAAAGGACCCAGCAAGGAATGGGGAACAGCCACTGAAGGGTTAGTAAAACCAAGCCTCCGTGTCCTGGGTCTTCCTCTGTGCTTTGCTGCTCCCAGCCAGTCATACACAGGAATACTAGGTACGTAAGCCAACTAGGCCTCCCAGAAAAGGTTCCCTTATTAGGAAAAGAGACTGCCTTTCAGAATTGGGAGAAGACAGAGGGAGCTACAGTTCTTCCCCTGTATTCCTGAGGCTACTTATGTGCTAGCCATCAAGCCTTTTTCTCATGGGTTGGACAGAAAGGTTTTTCCAAAAACACAACAAAACAGCACTTTATTAAAACTCTACTAAAACAAAATAGCACTGTATTAAAATCCAGTGGGGAAATAAATAATAGAACATGAGAGGTAGTTCAGGAAGATCTGGAATCCGAGGCCAGCCTGGGCTACATGAAACCTTGTCTCAAGAAAAGAAAGAAACTATATACAGTAGCCAAGTGTGGCAGCATACACCTGTAAACCCAACACTTGAAAGGAGGAGGCAGGAGGAATTCAAGTGCATAGTCAGCCTGGGTCACATAGTAAAACCCTGTCTCAAAAATAAAAACAGAAATCACAGATAACAAAATTGGCCTCCTTTACAAAGCTGCAAATTAAATAAAAAGTGAGGCCCCCAATGGCATGGTGTTAAAGGAGCTGAATCAGTTGGGGCTCAGCTAGGTTGAAGCCTGCTTTCTGATTCTTGTTTTTAAAACAAGGCAGGGTTTCTCTGTGTAGTCCTAAAATTCGCTCTGTAGACCAGGCTGGCCTAGAACTCAGAGATCAGCCTGCCTCTGCCTGCCAAGCATAAGGATTAAAGGCGTGTGCCACCATCGCCAACTTGCTTTCTGATAAGCTAAATGGTCTATGTCAACCCATGGAGGGCTCTATGGTTCCAGAACTGAAGTAGATTCCCTTTTGTTCTTGGCTCTGCTCTATCCCTGAGTATCCTGAGTTCTGGAATTTTACAATTCTTTTTAGGCATGCCCAACTGCCACATAAATCCCAGGATGGCTATGAATGTGGCCCAGCACATTTGCAGATGACATTGTCATGTTGCAGGAAGGTCGGGCACTTCTGTGAGTCTAGCTTTTCTGGCTTCTGTGGAAAGAAAACAGTTCAGGATGAGTGCTGCATCTAAACGGTCACCTGTGGGGACAGAGGAAGCCCTGCTGTAAGAGGAAGCACTCCTTTCCAGTTTACCTGATAGCCACAGCCAGGCTGTCATACCATCGTGACAGCTCCTCATGGTCAGTGGACATAAGCAGTAGCTTCTCATCCGGGAAGGACAGCTAGGGAGAAACCACTTTAGTTCAGAACAAGTCAGGCTGAAGGCCCCACTCCCCCCAGATTCCACGCTGTGAATTTAGGGATGAAATGATGACTAAATATGAAACCTTAGCCCCAACAATCCCCTTACTCTCATGAAAAGGGACCCAGGTCAAGTGATAGCGCTGGTCTGTAAGTGCTTGAAGTATATTTGGGGCCCAGATTTCCCATATACAACTTACACTGAGCAAACCACCACAAGTTCCTCCTGAATGGCCAAAGACCCTGTTAAGCTGACACTGGGACATAGGGTACAGGGCTTTGCAGACAAAGGTGCCACTCTTCAGCAGGTACAATGGGGGTCGAGGCTTGGCCATGAGGAGCACATCAGAGAAGAGGAAGAACATTCGGGGCCGAGGCTCCCCAGTGGGAGGCACCACTAAAAGCCAGCCCTGTCGTAGGAACCATCGTCCTAGAAAATGAGAGAGCCATTCTTCTTGTACAGCTCAAGGATCCATGAGAACACAAGAAAAAGACAGGGGGAATCCAGGGCTGGGAGATAACATGCTGGCTTTGGTTGGTTGGTTTGTTTTTAATTATTATGTGTCTATGTGGAGGGCAGAGGACAACTCTGTGGAGTCAGTTCTCTCCTTCTATCTTTATGTGGGTTCTGGTTTAACTCAGTTCATCCAGCTGAGCCATCTGCCAGCCCAATATGCTGGCTTTGTAGAGGAAGAGAAGTGAGTGAGCAAGGGGCAATTGAGGACTGAAAGGCAAAGGCCACGGTCTACCTGAAGTAAGCCCTTTTGCCTTGCGTCCACTGAGTAGAGCCTGGACACGCAGGAGGTGCTGGTCATTCTTCTGGCTCTGGCCAATGGCGTGGACTCTCTGGGCAGCTTCACTCACCCGGCGAGCAGCCCCTGGAACAACACCCTCTGCCTCACTGCCAACTTAACTTTGGCTTTGAGAGGCTAGTAGTAGGAAAAGGCAAGCTAGTCTGGAGGGGGCCTGGATCAGGTTCTAGCTTCTTGAAGAAAAGTGAGGGCACTTAGGGACACTATACATGTAATGGAAGGTATGTCCCCACATACCAGACATTGTTGAAGGTCAGAACCAGAAAGGCTTTCAGGACAGGCAGCCCCTGCCTGAGTTGGAGAAGAACAAGAACCTACGTGTGAGCTGTTGGTAGTCAGGGCTGTTGGGAACTGTGTTTTCAGCCAAAGCCACGATGAGATTCTCGTACCTGGAAATGGACAATTGGAAGTGAAGGAAGAGAAGTAGAGCCAGGCAAAATGCCCTGGTTTCTTATGACCTGAAGATCGACCCCCAGACTTCCATTCCTTAATTGTAAGGTCGGGAAAGGCCTTCTCTGGCTTCTCTGCTGCCCCTCTTTAACCTGGGACTCAGAATCTGGGCTCCCTAAGCAGGCCACTTCCATCCCACACTGAAGAGTCAGTGGCAGACTGTATGTATTTCAGGAGGCTGGGTCAGAAGTTGGAAGTAATCAAACCAAGGAGGCTACCACAGACAACCTAGGAGCCCTGGAATAGAACTTCAAGACTAGGCTAACCCCTCATCCCAGTGAGTTTTTCCAGATAGCCTGTCTCAGGCCTTAGTGCAAGTTCCCTCACTTCAGTGTACATTCCCACATCCCCAGACTGAGGCTGCAGACCCTGGGTACCCCTGAGGGTTCACTGGTAAAAGCTCCTTAAAGGTAATTGGGCCTAGTGAGGCAGAGCTGGGATAGAATCTATGGTGCCCCCACGAAGCTGCAGGCAGCAGTTATGCAGCCTGAGGAGATAATTCCAGCCTAGAGGGGTTCACTCACTGTTGGAGCCGCTGCAGAGGCAGAGGGAGCAGGTCCTGGAGCTGAAGACCCTTAAATTCAGGGCGGCCTTCCTGAAGCTGCACAAATCTCCGAAAACGTTTATTCTTCTTCAGCAGCTTCTGGATTGAGAAGGAGAGTGCATCAGGGAGAGAAACCACTCCTAATATTACATTCATCTGTATACACAGCCTTCCGAAAGCTGTGCACTCCTGGGGGTAACCAAGTCCTCCTAGGGATGTTAGCAAAGAGCTGGGCTCTAAATGCAAAACACTAGGTTAAGGCGCCGGCGGGGGGCGGGGGTACCTGAAGGGTGGTCTGAGCACTCTCTGCATTGGCAGCAAACTGGGTGTAGAGCTCCAGGTAGAGGCAGAAACCCTCTAGTCCCGGCCCCCAGTGTCCTTCTTCCAAGTAGGGAAGCAGCTCTCTGTGTGGGCAAAGGACATTAGAGGGGCATGC